AAACAGCACTGTCATCATTCCTTTTCCACCTCCAACAGTAAGCACTATCAACATCCCATTTCCACCTTCAACTCTTGAATGAATATGCAAACATCTTATCTTCCTCCTTCTATCCGCTTCCTTGTCTCCTCTACAAAAAAATGATTTTAGAAAGACAGAGCATATGTGCATCATAAAAACAGCACCACAGATTTTGTGCATAGCTTACAATGACAACACTACAGAGTATGCATAGTTTATAAAGAGTGTTGGCTAACAATCGCATCATACATGTTTAGAATGAACTCCCTCCTCAAAGATTGGTAAGGGTTAGCAGCTTCACTCATTTTGATATGGCGATTTCACAAATACAAGAGTAATTTTGATTTGTTCTGTCCTCAGAACCCCAAATTATTTAAACTCGCTACAGCCTTTCTCCTTAAAAATATGTTGTGATTTTCATTCATCGCTCTCTCTTGAATTGCAAACTCACAGTACCATGGCTTATGCCATTTTTTCAACATTACTAGCTACACCCTTCATATCACCTTGGACTTCATGTAACATGTCCAAAAAAGGATCACTTGTTCCACTATCTTTGCTCTTCCCTCCTTGCCTCTTCCTCCTCTTGCAGCTAGATGATGCTGAGTCAACAGACCTTCTAGGGGTTTCTCTGGACATCCTATCCTCTTCTTCGTCATGTCGATTACCATGTTTAGCAACAAGCTCTTCTTCCATGTTGCCACAAATTTCACCGATATCTTCTAAGACCTTCATCGGTGGCTATATCATTTCTATATATTGTAGATAATGTATCATAGTAAGGGAATTTGATGCCATATAGGCCCTTAGCATCGGGATGTAACAACTATTGTGTGTATCACTTGCGTGTTGAAAAATATAAACTAATAACTATATGCATATGTATAGCACCTACTGTATTTCTACGAAATATTAACCCATGGTCGGTCATAATGGACTATGATAGAAAGATTTGAGATTCAATAAAACAACAATTAAACCTTTATGGCACTATTTGATCTTCACACTTGATGCAAAACAGTTGCAACCTCCCTATTATAACCCATGTTTAGCGGCAACCTCCCTATTATATAAAGTATTGGTACTGAAAAATATATAAGATTCAATGCAAGATCTGAACCATCTCTATGTAAACTCTAATTCCTCCAAATTAACTAAGAATGAACTTGTCATGCAAGGACAAAAGTATCTTCCGTTGCATTAGTATGCTGCGATCACTAGATTACTTATTTACATTATGTAGTGATGCCAAATTATCCATCAGAACTACCATGTGTACTCAACAAGTACACCTTGACTACATAGCATAGAACTTCCAAAATCGAGAAGCTACATAGTACAGAACAAGAAAGTGCACACATATACATCCTGGACAGAACAAGATTATGTACTTGAAATCACCTCTCATGAGTCTCATCACCACGTACATGCATATGTAAAGTCAAAAGGATAGCGTGCCTTTGCAATGTTTATCGATCGTATCTTTCACATCAAGCATCTTCTTAGTATCATCCTGTGAAGCCACTTCTGCTCAAAGATTTGTTCCAAAGGTTTCATACTTTGTTCTAAAATGCCTGGCTCTAGACTCAATATGAGGTAAAGCTAAAATTCCAAATACCGGTAGCTTCTCACCCGTAATGTCCTCCAATGCGATAAATTCCCATTATTAAAGCCTCCTCCTTGCCCTTCTACTTTGGCTCCAATGATATCTCATACGGTGCTTTCATAAGCTCATCATCTTCATTCATAGTCCACTTCCTTTTATTCTTTCCTTCCACGCACAATTGTTGATTTCTAAGAAAGGTCCATAGCTGCATAGTATTAAGGCCATGTTAAAATACTACACAACTAATATATAATAATTTTAGAACTAGAAGAATATAAAAAGCATACCTCAATTATTAGAACTAGAAGAAGCCCTATAGTTATTATATAGCCCTTGAGCAAGAACATCTCGAAAATTAGTCCACTCATTAGAAGCTAACACACAGTGATAAATTCTCGTTCATTAACTTCTCCTTTAGTAATTTCCATTGAAGGTACCATTGTTTCATCCTCATCTTTCATTGATCTCTTTGACATATTTTGCAAAAATCAAATTATGCAAAAGGGCACAAGCCATTATTATTCATCATTGAGTTTTTATAGGAAAATAAGATGGAGATCTCAAAATTCCCCACCGACCCTTTAGTCTTCCAAAACACCTCTCAATGATATTTCTTGCTTTTGCATGCCTCATATTAAAATATTCCTTTGTGCTATGTGGTGGATTTTGTACGGTCCAAACTCCCAAGTGATACCTTTGACCTCGATATGGAGCTAAAAGCCATTTGCATTTGAATAACCTAGATCCACAAGATAGTAACACCCTTAAGATTGCAAATAGAAACAAAATCAACATTTGCACTAGATAACTTATCAGAAAACCACATGAGTTAACAAAACCAAACTCGCCTTTGGGGATACGTAAGTTATTTGGCTCGGTAGTGGCATCTCTCAAAGACACTACCATCATGTGTCGAGCCCTCCCAACCAGTAGTACATAGATGAATTGCATATCAGGTGCACAAACATCTAGGACATTTGTCACAATGTCTCGCTTTTCTAGACCTATACCTTCCTTTTAGCTGAAGTTGGAACAATCACCTTTATATGAGTTCCATCCAAGGCTCCTAAACAGTTTCTACAAACAAGAATCATATAGAAAAAGAACTCACATATACTTACTTTGTAATATGTATTTTTCTTTTGTTAAAAGAAAATTTTGTTAACAAGTCATTTACCTTAAAATATTTCCAAAGAATTATCTGTGCTATTCTCCCAAGCATTGGTTCCGGGGTCTTAAACAAAGAATGGTGCAATTTCGTAACAACTAGCAGTGCATAAATTGTAATGCCCACTAACCTGCCCTCGCCACTTCTAAGAAAGTATTTTTACCGTCCGATTCGTGATGGGCTAGTATGTATAGGAATTGGGCCACTATCTCTTATAGCTCCATATTACGTGTGCCCTTCAACCCGTAAACATCTCTAAGCATCTCACACAGATGTAGAATGTTCTCCTATCCATGCGAAGCTCACTAATACAGTAGTGTCGCTTGCTACGTAATTAGTTGGAACAACTTCTCATTTCTAAGTTCTTCATTTATTATCCTTCTCTCTATCTTGAAACACCTTCTTCTATAAGCCAATGCAAGAAAGGACCACATGTAATAGTACATGACGCATTTATGGAAGTCAAAGATATTTCTAAGGGCCATGTTTCTTCTTCGAGTTCTTGTTGTTAAAGGAAGGCGAGCCATGATGTCGACACAACATTAGTAATATATATTAATTATTTAAGCACTAACCAAAGAAAATAATCTGCTATACACTTAGAAAAAAATGCATTGTTGCATTGTCAAGTAAGAACTCCGAGCAAGTGTCCAAATGACATATCAAGCAACATACAACATGGATTTTTTTACACTAACTTGACAACACAGAGCCATATTGATCATCTCAGATAACTTCTAAAAATACAAACCGTAGCTATCTCACAAAATAATAGACTTTAACACTAAATCAACCTTTTCTACGTGGCTTAAACTTATTTGGATTGCACTATAATATTCACCGGTACACATACATTGTTTTGGATAACTAAGACATCAGTTTTGGATTCAATTAATGAGAAATTTGTGTTGTTTTCAAGAGCATGCTCAATATTTTTGTCCACTCCTATTCTGTGCCGTGAGAACAAAAAATACATGGAGTGATAAATAGGGAGTATGGGACTGTATAAATTAAATCGAATGGTTAATTAGATAAGTGAATGAATGAGCATAAATGTCAATTTCATCAACCGTGTCATCTATATGGAATGGATCTGCTAGCTGGTCACTCAAATACAATTGCATGAAGGCATCAGTGGTGACATGGAATTGACCGTATGCACGAGATACTTTAATTTTGTTGACACAACAAAAATATCTCCAATTTTATTCAAAGTTCACGGCACCCGGACATATATCTTACTTTTGCAACTCAAGCGCATGAAACAAATATGGATTTGAGAGGAGGAACCGCAGGCCGCAGCACACCCGGCCCAGTTCTCACGCGGGAGTGGAACTCGAACCACCTGTGTGCGGTTGGCCTGGCGGGACGCAACGTCTGTTACGTCTGCCTGTGCGGTGCCTGTGCCTTGCCTTTTCCATGGCCCCACATGTCCAGATACACCACACGGTCCCACCCGCCAGTCACGCACGGCACGCCAGACCGAAACGCCCGGCCCGCCCGGAGAAACCCAAAAAATCGCCAGCGCATTTCAAACACAAACGAACGAATCCTCTCGACGGATCAAATCGAATCGAACGCTGCCTAGGGTTTCCTCCCTTCCCTCCTCACCCACGCGCCGCCCACCCATGGCCGCCGCCGCCGCCGCAGACGCGCGCCCGCCGAGGCCGCCGCCATCGCGCGGCGCCTGGCCTCCTGCAACACCGGCACCCGGGAGCGCGCGGTCCGCTACCTCCTCTCCGACTTCCTGCCCGCCTCCGCGGCGCGCCTCTCCGCCACCGACCTCCTCAAGCTCTGGAAGGGCCTCTTCTTTTGCTTCTGGCACGCGGACAAGCCGCTGTACCAGAGCTCCGTCGCCACGCGCCTCGCGTCCGCGGTCTCCGCCCCGCCGTCCCCGCCCGACGGCGCCGCCTTCCTCGCCGCCTACCTCACCACGCTCCGCCGCGAGTGGGCCCACATCGACGTCCACCGCCTCGACAAGTTCTACCTGCTCAACCGCCGGTTCCTCCACCGCGCCTTCCTTCTCCTCAGCGCCAATTCCTTCGCCCCGACATCACCTCCCAGGTCGTGTCCGTGCTGTCGAATAAGGCCCTGCTCCCGGAAGCCGATAACGTCGCCGCAGGCACCTCCCGGGGCCTCGGGTACCATGTCGCCGAGGCGTTCCTTGACGAGCTCTTGCCCGTGCTCCCTGTCAGCCTGGAGACAATGGACGCCCTGCTGGCTCCGTTCTTCACTGTACTGGAGAAGTCGACTGATAGGGTGATGGTGAGTAAGGTGAAGGCAGGCGTGTTTGAGAGGTTACTGGAGAGTGGCAGTCAGTTGCTTGAGACGGTGAAGAAAGGGGACGAGATGGAGAAGGGTAGTGCTGAGGAGAAGCTCGGGAAAATTGGATTGCTGTTTGGATTCAGCAAGAGGTTCCTGGATATTGGTGCAAAGGCAGAGACGGTGCAATCGAACCGGAAGGTGGTCTTTGGGTTGAGGGATGCATTTGTGAAGATCGAGAAGGGTTTGCAGCTATCTGGTCTTGAGATCACTGTGCCTAAGTTTGAGGCTACTGAGGTGCCAGTGCCGCCAAATGCAGGCGAGGAAAAGGCACAAAAGAAGAAGAAAAAGGCCAAGAAGGCTGCATTGGCTGAAGGTGAGATGGAGGAGGCCAAGGATTTGAAGCGTGAGAAGAAGGGCAAGAAGGACAAGAAGGAGAAGAAAGAGAAGAAGAAAAGAGGAAGGTGGAGGTTGTTGATGAAGGAACACCACTGAGAAGAGTACCGGTGCTCCTGTAGATGACCAACAGATGGGTGATGGTACTGATGGCATTACATTTGATGAGACATTAAAGTCCAATCTTCAGAAGCAGTTTGAGATGGCTGCAGCAGAAGCTGGTATGCCCAAAGGGGGCAGCAGCTCAGGCGCTTCACCAGTGACACCAGCTAGTGGGAAAGTGGCAAGAAAGAGGAAGCGTTCAAAATCTGCTGATAAGCTGTCTGAAGCTTCTTATGGGGATGATGGCAGCAAAGGTAATCTTCTTGCCCGGGATGGAGAGAAGAGTGGTAAGAGGGTGAGGTTCTCGATGAAGAATAATTTAGTTTGGAAACCTCACAATCCTTTGCCACCGCAGTGTTTGAGGCTGCCACCTTCGGCTACTCCAAGGGGAAGCGCACTAAAAAGGGCGCCCAGCCAGGGCCCATAGCACCGACGCCCATTGAAGAAGGCTAAGCCAAAGGCAAATTCTGCAAAGAAGGTCTTGAAGAAGCAACCTTCATCTGCTGTGAAGCGTTTGCGGAAGTTGCAGAGTTTCTCAGCATGAGCTTTTTGGTGTATGACTAAATGATGGTCATAACTTTGTATCTTTTTTGTTTTGGTTTATCATTACTTGATTCTTATCATTTTTGTAGGTTAGTTTTATACTATGTTGACTTCGCTGTCAGTCATATTCGATGAATTGCTTAATGATTTGCGTTGTCACTGTGCTTTTATGATAATCATGTGGTGATTGCAACAGTAGTACTGTGGTAGTTCTTATGTTTTTGGCAGTACTTGGTTTCCTGATGGACCCCTTTCTTTCCTGAACTGCCCATCTTGCAGCCACGGTTGCAGGTTAGAATATTGTTTGATATGTTATGTCACTGTTGGTACTCTGTTTAATCTGAAGATCAATATAGGCATGCAGCCAGCCGAGCCATTGTGGTTTCTATTTAGATTGTGCTGTTTTGATATGGCTATTCTAGATTTTGTGGTTATTTATGAAATTTGCTGAACTGTGGACAGACACAATCTGTAAAACGTCTAATGATGTTGATAATGTTTTTAAATGTCTAATTTGTGGTAAATTGAATTTGACTCCATCCTGTAATTCAGAAACTTTCAGTAAGATGCAGGCTTCTTTGAACTTGTCCTGATCTATGCTCTGGAAATGTTTAGCAGACAAAAGTACTTACGGTAATTTATAAGTTCATTCAAACCTGTTATTTTGTTCTGCTCTTCTTAGCCCAGGATGAGCCAATATCCAAGCTGTTCAGTTTCAGCAAATAAGCTTTGCTTTACCATTGGTCCTGAATTTGTATCTGCTGTGCAATTTAACAATTGCATCATGTTGACAACTGTTGCTTCGTGCTAATTTACTTGTTCTGTTTGCTGATCACCGTGGTCATGTGCTGCCTGTATCTGAATGCCAAGCCTGTGCCGTCAGAATTTTGTTCAGAATCCTCAACAGCATGAGTAAACTATGTTACTATTTCTTGTCCACTTCTCTAAACATCAGGGCTTGCACTGCATGGTGATCATATGTTTGTATCTTTTTTCTCTCTGGTTTATCAGTACTTAATTCTTGCCCTGTGTTGACTTCACTGCCGATCCATATTTCATGGATTGCTTAATGATTTTGTTGTCACTGTGCTTTTTATGATAAGCATGCTGTGATTGCAATGGCAATGGCAATGGTAGCAGTAGTAGCTCTTATTTTCCTGGAGCCCTTGGCTTCCTGATTGACCCTTTCTGTCCAAAATCCATCTTCTTGCAACACCGTTGCAGGCTAGAATATTGTCTGATGTTTTGAAACTGTTTGTACTCTTCACTTTGACGATCAATGCAGCCATTGTGGTTTCTGTCCAGATTGTTGTGTGTTGGGTTTGATTGCTGAATAGTGGACGCTGGACAGACACGATTTGGAAAATTTTGTGGTTGGGCAATGGGCACCGGCGCCTTGTTTTGGCCTCACCTCTGCAAGCGTGTCTGACTGACTGTGATACACTCATACATCAGCAGTGAATTACTACGATCGTGATGGAATTATGGAATTGACCATCAGCAGTGAATTACTACGATCGTGATGGAATTATGGAATTGACCGTCATTATGAGTTTGACGGATCAACTCGGTTCACTGGAAGCTTGAGCAAGCTCCCCGTTGGATGGAACTGGAACTGCCCCATCAAAGATAGCTCGCGCTATTTTTAAGTAAGCCGTGCAATAATCTCAGAGGGAAGCCCGGCACGCCGCCTGCTTTCCGTTGCCACTTCCACCGCATGCCATGCAAATCCTCTCCCGCGACCGCGAGCGATTCATCGGAACGCCGTCCATGATCGAGACAGGATGACGTCGCCGCTGGCACCTTCCCCGCCGGCGCGTCAGGGCATGCAGTCGCCGTCGCCGACGACGAAAGTGGCTCCACCGCCGCCGCCGCTGGCCGTGGACGCGGCCGTCATCATGGGCGTGCTCACGGCCGTGCTCCTGGCGCTCTTCCTCTTCCTCATCTACGCCAAGCACTGCAAGGAGCGCGGCCCCGGCGAGGGCGCCGGAGGCCTGGGCCTCGGGTTCGCGCCCTCCTCGTGCGACCGTTGCCGCTCGGGGCTTAGCAGCTCCGCGGTGGGCACGCTCCCCGCAGTCCGGTTCGGCGACGGCGACGGCGACGCCGATGCCGACCGCGCCACCGAGTGCGCGGTGTGCCTGGGCACCTTCGACGCCGCTGAGCTGCTCCGCGTCCTGCCCGCTTGCCGCCACGCCTTCCATGCAGAGTGCGTCGACACCTGGTTGCTGGCACACTCCACGTGTCCCGTCTGCCGCCGCCGCGTCACCAGGGGCCGCGTGGACGACCCCGAGCCAGAGGAGCCGGCGGCAACGCGGCAGCACGGCCGCCTTGACCTGGCCGCGAGGACGGTGCCCGGCCGGCGCTCGGCGGGCGACGCGGAGGTGCAGGTGCAGGTGGAGGTGGTGGTGCACCGCGCGTGGGACCAGCGGTGGTCCACCAACGGCTTGGTGGGCCGGGTCGCGTACCTTGAGGCCGCCAGGCATCGGAGGGACGACCTCGGCGTCCTGGTGGTCACCGCCGACGAGTCCCGCAGCTCCCGCGGCGTCGTCACGCCGCGGTCCTGCTAGCTGGCTGCGCTCATCTTCTGCTCCGGGATATTGCTCCTGCTCACCGGATGAGGTTCTGAATCCTAGGTAGCTGACGCTCGCCGATCGATCGCGTGCATGTACATAGTTTGGCGACACGTCGGTAGTACAGTGATAGCATGGTAGGGTGGAGTGAAGACTGGAAGGTGCTTGTAAACTGTATTCTCAATGTGCCAAACTGCCAATGAGGCAGCGAGTTGATGTAGACCACTAATGGAGTCCCAGATCAGAAAGATACAAAGTTTCTTTTGTGTGTGGTCCTGGTGTTGCGATCTTGCGATGGAACACCATGGTTTATCCGTTGTTCCAACAAGCAGAGTAGCAGACACCCTGAATAATCTTAGTCTTATAGATGATAAAATGAATGAAAGATAAAAGCCTCTGTAAATGTGAATTTTGGGTGATTGGAGAAATTAGCAGTCCCGTAATTCTTTTAATCTAAGTACCATTTTTCTGTAAAAAAAATCAACATTTGAGATTATGAATTGTGAATTTAAAAATTGATGTTTTTTTGGTTCTTCTGTGTTCCTGAACGACCGTTACAGATAAGGCCAGAAGTGCCGTACGAGCCTCCCAACGGCCGCCGATCACACACACATACACAGACGCCGGCGCACACTGCGGCGCTGCGCAGCGACTCCCCGCCATGGCCACCACCTCCGTCGCCGCCTGCTCCCCCCACCCCCACCTCTCCCGCCCCCGCCGCCGGAACCCCAGCGCCACCTCCACCTCCAGAGCCTCGATTCGGGGCCGCCTCCCGCCTATCCGGTGCTCGTCCGCCTCCTCGTCGCCGCCGCCGGCCACAGGCGGCGAGGAGGGGGAGTCGGGGCGCCGGCAGCTGTCGAAGCAGTCGTCGTGGGAGGCGAAAGATGCGGAGGGGGAGGACTACCTCTACCGCCTCGGGAAGGAAGCGGACAACCTGAACGTCACCGTCGGCGCACGGTCCGGCATCGTCGACGACCTCTTCGTCGGAAACTTCCTCGGGAAAGACTGTACGTGCTCTCCATGCATGTCAAAATGTATACACTGCAAAGATATACATACCACCCAAATAAACATTTATGTTGCGATACAAAAGAAAGCAGAAAAAACTAGAAAATGAAGGGAATTTAATTAGCCTCAGGTCTCTAACCTTTACCTGATCAATCTAATTCTTTGGCCGAAAAAGAATTACGGTAATAACAAGTAGTTAAACAGGGCCACAATGTAAACATCGTAGCGTTTAAATATTGACCACACTCGCTAATGCTAAATAATAGAGGTTCAATTGGAGATCTATTCTGAAGGATTAAACAAGGAAATAACTAATTTTAATTAACTAGCTAATTAGAGTGTTTACTATTGGGACAAACTAATTTGATAAGCAATAATAAAAATAGAAAGATATGGAGAAAATATTAGGAATACCTAATTTTTATTTATATAAGATACTATTAGAGATTAAAATGGAGTAAGAACAAAAATCATAATATAAATAGTATCATTAACTAGCTAATTAGATAATTATAAGCACCTAGTTTAGGGGGTGTATTAGGGGTGGTACCGGAAGGTTGGGGGGTGCCAGGACCCCTCAGCCCCCCCTTCCCTCCGCCACTGACTAAATCGACATACCTACATTTGATAAGATCATAAGAACAATGCTTGCTCAGCTTAGCTCAGTGTGCTACACTATGTAAACATATTGACGTGCTTGGAAAAAAAATCAAAGGGGCCATACAAGGGGACATCCCTTGGTGTATGCTTTTCGCGGACGATGTAGTGCTAGTTGATGAAAGCCGGACAGGAGTGAATCAGAAACTGGAGTTATGACGGGAGACTTTGGAGTCCAAAGGTTTTAGACTCAGTAGAACTAAAACTGAGTATATGAGATGTGACTTCGACATTATTATTCGGGAGGAGAAAGATATTAGTTTAGAAGGTCAAGTAGTGCCTAGGAAGAATATCTTTCGATATTTAGGATCAATGCTACAGAGAGACGGGGATATTGATGAAGATGTTAACCATAGAATCAAAGCAGGGTGAATGAAATGGCACCAATCATATGGTGTTCTATGTGACAAAAGGGTACCACAGAAGCTAAAAGGCAAGTTTTATAGGACGACGATTAGATCTGCTATGTTATATGGTGCGGAATGTTGGCCTACGAAAAGACGACATGTTCAACAGATAAGTGTCGCGGAAATGTGTATGTTGCGTTGGATTTGCGGTCATACAAGAAGGGATCGAGTTCGGAACGATGATATACGTGATAGATTAGGGGTAGCACCAATTGAAGAAAAGCTTGTCTAACACCGGTTGAGATGGTTTGGACATGTCCAACAGAGACCTCCAGAGGCACCGGTGCGTAGTGAAATCCTAAGCCAGGATAGTAACGTGAAGAGAGGTAGAGGAAGACCGAAGTTGACTTGGGTAGAGGCAATAAAAGGAGATTTGAAAGGATGGAATATACCAAAAGACTTAGCCTTAGATAGGAGTGCTTGGAAAACAACTATTCACGTGCCTGAACCTTGATTGCTTCTGTTGGGTTTCAACTCTAGCCTACACCAACTTGTTTGGGACTTAAATGCTTTGTTGTTGTTGTTGTTGTTGTTGTTGGACGAGTTAAAAGATTTTGATAGCCTGGGTGCTATGTGGTTGCAGCGGATATTGTGTTCGATTACCGGCAGAAGGCAACTAGAACATTCGAGTACCTGCAGGGGGATTACTACATCGCACCCGCCTTCCTCGTGAGTTACTTTTGGATCACTGCAATTATGCTGCTTTTTATTGAGTTTTATATTATCTAATATCCGATTGGCAAGATTTGACACTGCAGATTCATTTGGTTGCAGGATAAAGTTGGTAAGCACATTAATGTAGAAGGAACTTGGCAAATATTCTTGTATTGAGGTATGAAATTTGAACAGTCAGTAATTTGGTATACAAGTGCTTCTTTCGATTTGCATTGGTCAATTTGCAGCTTTTACTTTTGCTCTTGCACTTGGCGTGGTAATTACTGGTTGTGATTCTACTGAGAAATGTATTAAATAGGAATGGTTAGCATAAGGCGACCTTCTTTTTATAGAAAAAAGAAATATAAGCCAACCAAATCATTAGACTGGATATGTTTTAGTCAAATACATAGACAATCTGAGGTCAGCCTGCAGATGAAATGTTAGTAACTATCATGCATATATGAATGAATGATTTTTCTGCTAAACTTATCTTTAATAATTGATTCTTGGTTTTGAGAGTGAGCTGTTGCTGCACAGTACATACAAACACCTTAATTCTTCAGGAACATGGATATATCTTGTATGATTAACATATTTCTTGTTCTTCTTCCCAGGTACACATACTAAAATCTAAAGGACTGTTTGTTGTTTGCAGCATGCCACATTGTAAAGAACTACATTGCACATCTTCTTAATAATATCAAGGTTCCCCTAATACTTGGTAGAGTAACCTAGTTCTTTGTTTGTGTAGTCTATTCTTGATATCTATTAATGTAATTGACCCTGATAGACTGCACTATGCAGGGATCTGGGGCGGAAAAGGCCAAGGAAAAACATTCCAGACTGAACTTATATTTAGAGCAATGGGTGTGGAGCCCGTTATTATGTCTGCTGGTGAACTAGAATCTGAAAAAGCAGGTCAAGAATCACTTGAACTATATATCCCTATGTGTTTTATCATTATACCATAAATTTGCCCTGCTGTTCAAGTGCTTCTCACTTTGTTATTTTTTTCATGCTAATGTGAACTTTATTCCAAACATTGAAAAACTTGTTTCACTTCTTCTTTTCCTTTGTATATACTTTCTTTGAGTATTTGATTAGTTGGGAAAGTGTGAACCGTCAAATTTGGTTCTTGGTGCTTCTGTTAATCCCAGCTTCAAGTGGATAAAATTTGGTACTGTTCAGAACTACCAATTTTAGGAATATGAGGAGAAGGGTCTCTATATTAGTTATGAAGGAAAATTAGTCACCATTATGTTTCACCGGATCTAAATGTGCAGAAATAGTAGGAATTGGTTGTTTTTCTTTCACAATTTTCTATCAGTTGCATGGTCTGAGAGTGTAGCTGCTTGTTGGTTGCTCAGGTATTTCTGTGCTCTGTTTGCAGGTGAACCAGGGAGGCTAATACGTGATCGATACAGAACTGCCTCCCAAGTAATCCAAAACCAAGTAAGAAGGTGTTTGCAGCTACTCGATCTTAGATTTGAGCATTTCATGTTTAATTTTCTGTCTCTGAATCGTGATCATGAAAGAGTATTTCTTTTTGCAAACTTGCAAAGTTTAATCACAGAAGTTAATCATCTGCATACATGGGGGTATAGTTGTCTAATCATTTTGGATGCTTCAGCGTGATGAATTGGTAATAAAATTTTGACATAGTATTAGTGTTCCTGAATTGCCAAAAGTTGGTGCTATTTTAGTCTTCCATATTCAGGGATTGTGTTCTACGGTTCTGAATACGACAGCTAGTTCATAGTTGTTTTGCTCCTGGAGATTGTACCAAACAAAACATGCTGTGAATTTTGTTCATTTACCTTTTTCATAAGAAGGCACTTGGTTTTCACAAGTTTTTCGGTGATACAGGGGAAAATGAGTTGCTTGATGATCAACGATCTAGATGCTGGTGTTGGAAGATTTGGTGGGTTATTTTCTGTACATGTTTATTTTTCAATGCAATTGTGAATAGGGTTCGTCCATTTACCAGTTACATGCTATTTGGCAAGCTTTGTTTGCAAGGATGAAACCTCTCTTCTGTATATTTATGAATAATTTTCTTTTCGCCAGGAATGTATACAGTTTTTAATCTTCTTTGAGTTTGTTGTTCAAGAATATAGTTATTAGAAAGCAACTTAGTGCTATGTGTTTCTCTTGTTGCCAGGAAACACGCAGATGACAGTCAATAATCAAATAGCTGTCGGAACTTTGATGAACTTGGCAGATAATCCTAACAGGGCGAGCATCGCCAGAAATGGAGAGAATCTGATGTTACACACAGAGTGCCAATAATAGTTACTGGAAATGATTTTTCAACTCTATATGCACCCTTAATTCGTGATGGCAGAATGGAAAAATTCTACTGGTATGTTGTCCTATCTGGAGCAGTTCTGTATAACGATGGATCACCAACTGAAACTTCTGGACTGGAGTATTTTAATTTCCATTTAGCTTTGTGTATAATTAGGTGTTTGCTTGCCTTCTTGGCATTGGCATTTTATACAGTATAAAATGTGATAGCTGAAGATAGGTGCTAATTTCGTGAGGCATTTTTTTTCTATTCCTTTAATATTCTACAATTTTGTTTTTCTTGCTTGCAGCAGCTAGTTACAACCATTTTGTGCTTAACAGGCAGCCAACCCGTGAAGATATAATTAGTATTGTTCATGGCATGTATAGAAAGGATGGATTATCTGTTGAAGAAGTAGCAAGAGTTGTAGACGCATTTCCAAACCAAGGTACCTTTTGCACAACATAATTGGACTTCCATTTTTTCGCTTGTGTATTATGCTGTTAGAATACAATTCATCGTTGTAAGGATGTTGTTTAGCATTCCTTGTGATTTGGTGTCCACAATTATAGGTTCAGCCTTACATTTGAGTGAAATTAGTGTTTAGTGATCAGCAAATGCTTTGTTTCTGTTAAAAATTATTTTAGTTATCTAAGAGCCAGATAAAATATTGGTACTACTGAAGAATTGGGCTTAGAAATAATAGCCAAGCTCATAAGCAATCCACTTCATTGTTCGAAAAAAATTTATTCAAGAACTAAATGAACATTCTGCAGCTCTGGACTTCTATGGAGCTTTGAGATCCAGGACATATGATCAGGCTATCTTGGAGGTATTTTTTCCATTTTATAAAGATATTATTTAAAATTCATATGGTTGGTTGTAGAAAAGTAGCTTTAGGCTGTGCTTGTGCAACAATCTAGGCCATGCCTGTTAGTTTCAGCAGATGCGTAAAATGCTGTTCAGATTCAGACATAGCCGAAGTAACATATCACTGTTTCCCCTGCACTGCAGTGGGTCGAAGAAATTGGTGGACATGAACAGCTAAGGGTAAAGCTTCTTAAGCGAAAGAAAGGAGAGGAGCTTCCAACATTTATACCCCCAAAGGTATATTCAGTATTGAAGCATATAGACTACTACCTCCAGTCAGGATAACAAGACGTTCAGACATTCACAAAACAAACTGACCAGCATGTCTCATGTCTGAAACGCCATGCTTTTTTGACTGGAGGGGGTAGATGAGTTAACTGATCATTAGACTGCTGATTTTTTCATCCGTTTTGAGAAACCATGACTGACACCCTGGTATCATTTTTTACCCTAACCAGCCATCACTGGAAGCATTGATTGAGTCAGGGTACTCGCTGGTGAAGGAGCAAGAACTAATAATGAACTCAAAACTATCAAAAGAGTATATGAAGAACTTAGAATAGTTTGATACACGAGAGGGTAACTTCTTGTTTTCAGTTTATTTGGAGCAATGCACCATCCAATTTGTTCCAGTTGCATGTGCCGGTATATATAACAGTGTACATATCCAAAAAAAATTCTCTGTGTGTATATGTATCTTAGATGCAGATAAGTGCATAGTCTATCCGAAATTGAAACTAAAGATGCATGTTCTCCCACTTATGTTGTTTAATTTGCCTCCGATCCAACATCCAACCACCAGAGTCGAACTGCTGCTTCGATTTCAGAAAGAATGGATGCATATCGGCATTGTCCTTACTCTCATCACGCATTGTCAAAAGTCTTCGGTTTGACTTGGAAGACTTGTGAGCTGTATCACAAAGTGGCCCGTGTATGTATGTGCAGCGGAAGCGTCCAAACAGCATCATCAATACAGTGCCATTTCACACAGTTTATACTTGCAGGATCGTACGACTATATATATCTTGTTATTTATTTCTTAATTAACATGCCATGCTGCTACACGTGTGCAGGTTCACATTTAATAGTACTAGTACTGCAATAAGAAAGTCGCAGAAATCCTATACCCGACTTTCTTGCTTACATTCAGGAACGAACAATTCCGCTAGGAAATTCTTAGATTTTCCTTGACATGAAAGATCTGGCAGTATATGTCCTTCAGCATTTGTACGTAGTAGTAGTAGTAGTAACTTTTTGGACCCAGAGATGTATACATGGAAACAAATTACTAATCTGTTCAGTACCGGAATCCTCAAATTTGCCGAGTGTTTTTATGTTTGCCAAGTGTATTCCCTCGGACACTCGACGAACAAGTTCTTTGCCAAGTGTAAAAAAAAAAACACTCGGCAAAAAAAAAAACACTCTCGGCAAAGATGGAGTTTGCCGAGTCAAAAAAACACTCGGCAAAGATAAGGTTTGCCGAGTATAAAAAAAAACACTTGGCAAAGAAATAAAATCTTTTTCTATAAAAGAAGAAGAAAAAAAAAATTGGAAAAAAAAACTTTGCCGAGTGCTCAGATCTAGAACACTCAACAAAGAAATAAAATCTTTTTTCTAGAAAAGAATGAGAAATAAAAAAATGAAAAAAAATATTTTGCCGAGTGCCCAACAAACAAAAAAAAAATCTTCTTTAACCCACCAGGGCCCCACCCTCCTTCCTCCGCACTTTTCCGCCTCAGCCTTCCCCCCTTCTTCCTCAGGTCGCACGCACCCGGCCCCTAGTGCCCCCTTCCTTTTCTTCCCCGGCCCCAAGCGCCCCCTCCCCTCCCCGCCGGCGCCCCTCCCCCTCCTCTTCCTCTCTTCCCCGGCGACGGTCGCCCCTCCTCTCCCTCTCTTCCTCGATCCAATGAGAGGCGCCCCTCCTCTCCCTTTCTTCCCGGCGCTTCCCGGATCCGCGCAGCCTCCTCCTCCTCTCCTCTCTTCCCAGATCCAGCGAGGACGCCCCTCCTCTCCTCTCTTCCCGGATCCGACGGCCGCCCCTCCTCTCCCTCTTTCCTTGATCCGGCACGGCCGCCCCCTCCTCTCCCTCTCTTCCCTGGATCCGTCGAGGCCGCCCCCTCCTCTCCCTCTCTTCCCCGGATCCGGCACGGCCGGTGGTGGCGTGGTGGTGGTAGCCGGTGGTGGGCGGCGGTGGCGGCCGGTGGTGGCAGCTCGGGCGTGGCGGGTGGTGGCATGGTGGTGGTGGGCGGCGGTGGCGTGGTGGTGGTGGCTCGTGGCGGCGGCCGTGAAGCCGGGGAGCGAAGGTGAGACGGAGGGCGTGAATCTGGGCCGCGGCGCAGGGGAAGGGCGCCGACGAGGAGACCGACGGCGGCCGGCGGAGACCGGTCAGTGGTGGCTTTTTTTATTTTTTTTGGCCGGCGGAGACCGACCGGTGGTGGCCTTTTTTTCGAAAAAAATGTTTGCCAAGTGTATTTTTGGCACTCGGCAAAGTCTTTGCCGAGTGTCCGACAAAAAACACTCGGCAAACTAGCGTTTGCCGTTAAAGGGTTTGCCGAGTGTTTTTAGGGCTTCGCCGAGTGCCCCTGGCACTCGGCAAAGCTCCTGTATCCTGTAGTGGTTGAAGATAGATATGGTTGTGAGAAGACCAGGATGGAAGCGTCGCACTGTTCCCACGTACGCCTACGTGTTAATATATAGAGCACGAAACACCACTGCCGTGGTTTACAAGATTCACCGTGATTTACTTAACCGGCTAGGAAAGTTGGATCATATTTACATAGAAACTATAGAATACAGTCACAACAGGGTATCCTTGACCGGTACAAGTCTATCACGGTGAATATAACTTGCTTGTTTACGTATACGTTAACAATGGTTAGTTATAGCAAGGACACGGGACCTTGATCCGAATTAAAAGCTTTTCTTTGCTTGTGGGAAACCAATCCAACAAATACAAGACGACTAAACTAGTTTATCCACCACGCAGGATTACTTGCTTAATAAGGGTAATTCCAATGAAAAAAACCAGTAGTTTCTATAACATAGACATAGGATACCGCACTAAAAAAAGTACTTTTCAACTTATGGTTTCTATGAGTAATAATTATTTTCTTTTTCTCTCTCCCAACTCAATCTTCTTCCTCCAATGGAAGTGCGGCACGAGCCCTCTAGAAACTGGTGGTTTTTTTCCAATGACGATTTCATAGTTTCTTGGTGCATTGGGTCAAGAGAAGACCTGATTTCTTCATGAGGAAACCATTTCTAGAATTTTTGCTCTCTTTCTTCATTAATTACGTTGCCATGTCAGCGTTTTGGCTACATGGCAAGCCATTTAATAATGATAGAAACCATCATCGATACATCGTTGGACTGCTCTAATTAGCTTAATGAAGCCTTTTTTACTTCCGTGGCAGAGACGATGGGTCATGGGGCGAGCCCGAGGGGGCAGGGGCGTAATAGGAATGGGCGCCTGGCGCAGGGCCCGAGGCAACTTGTAGGGTATCCAACAGGGTTAGGTGGCAGGCGGCGTCTCCTTCCCTTTCTGCCTTGTACTTAAGCTCGCCGCTTCTGTTCACAGTCCATATTTGTTTTCCTCCTGCTGCTTCGATTCCTTCTTGCCCCCTCCCCTCTCTCTGGCAAAGACGGACGGCCGACGACGACGACGGGTTGTCGGCAGCGGCGCTCACCGGCGGAGGGCGGCGGCGTCCATGGAGTGGTGGCAGAAGGCGGTGGTGGTGCCGGTGAAGCGCGCGTGGATCGTCGTCGCCGCCCGGCTGACGACGCGCCGCAAGAAAGACGGTAAGATCATCATCGCCGCCGTTTATACTATCCGTTCGTTCATTCATTCATTCATCAAAACACCAGCATCTGAATAAAGCTTGTTTTGTGTGTGTGTGTGTGAATGTAATAATCTCTCAATCTGCATATGGCCGTCGACTGCATGCCTTGATTGGTTTACTGATCGATTTCTTTTGTCTGGCGAACAGTCAGTCCCTAGTCCTGAACAATCCCTGACATAGTTCCCATCTGATTTCTAGCATCGTTTAGTTTAGAGCTGGTGAATCGTTTCAGACGTTTACTAACAGTAAGATGATCGACTAGTAAGTAGAGTAACCATTGCAATGTGGAACAATCTAGAACGAAGACATCTATCGTCGTAACCGGTTTTCAGTTCTAACTGCTAGCTAGAGCCACCAGTTTGTTTGTTTGATCCTCGTCAGACTAAGGACCTGTTTGGTCGGGCTCTCCGGCTCCGGCTCTTTCAGAGGAGCCCTGTCAAACTTTTTATTTAGAAGAGCTGTTTTTCAAGAAAAAAGCAGAGAGTCGGAAGCTTGTCGGAGTTGTTTTGAAGGAGCCACAAATTATGGCTCCTCCAAAACGGCTCCGACTCCTTCGAAGGAGCCTCTCAGGAGGAGCCGTGCCAAACGGTTCCTAAACACGTGTCGCGCGTGCAAATTTGTGTTAGCAGCACATGACGAACTGACGACGCTCATCATGCGTGCACGCACCGCATATAAAAAATAAAAAAAAATAAAAAATAAAAAAACGCTCAGATGTGGATTCGAACCACTGAAGGATTTCAGGGGCAATGCCCCTTGCTCTTCCCACTGAAACAAGCAAAAAAGATTTTCAATCCTTTGCTCTAACCAGCTGAGCTACCAGAACCACTTGCCTAAAGTCTCTTTTCTTCATCAGTAGAGTAGCTTGCTCAAGAACCGAGAGCCGGCCAGGGACTGGACGGCCCTCGTTCGGGAAGGTCCTCTTCGCTGTAGACGCCACCAAGAACCAGAAAGGGGCGCTCCGCTCCTACTCCCTCCGTCCCGTTAAGATTGTCGCTCGGGAAGCGGGATTGTGAGGGGGGCACGGTTTTCCAACGACAAACTCAATGGGACGGAGGGAGTATATTCTGTCCGACGGCGATGGTGATGGATATGCATGCACAGCCATCATGGCAGCATGAGGCCTGCAGGCAGCATGCTGCATGCATGCGTGGCCGTGTCGTTTTGCTCCCGTGTAAGTGCAAGAGGACAAAGCAGCGCGAGCTCTCATAGTATGAGCAGGGGGTCAGTGCGGTGGACAAGGCATGCATGGAAGTTTGCAGCTTTTCTTTTTCTTGTTTTTCCGTGCACCAAGTAGCAGCGACGCCGCCGAAAAGGATCGTGGATTATTTATTGATGGCTGATTTGATGTGAGAGAAAAATACTGTTTTGATTGAAAATTTACGATCGTTTACGACCAAACAAACAGACTGTGAGGTATATAGATTTTTGGTGAAGCATAAAGCAGCGTTGTCCATTTTATACTGGTACTGGTACTAGCAGTATATGAATGCTGGCTGTGCCGCAAGCCGGCCAGCACCTACCAGGCTTACATATATCCACACGTGACACGTCACTCGGATAGATAGACATCTAGGAACCATATGCACATACTCAGAACTCAGTGTATATATAGCTTGGTTTTATTATACCAGTAAATGTAGAGCCGGCATGCATCATGTACAGTAGGAAACAAAAAAAGGGGGGGGAGATGAGCAGGGACCAAGAGTGACACACCTGCCTGATAGCCGGCTGCTCCTGGGCCTGCACCGACGAGCGACGAACGAACTCCCTCTACACTCTACAGAGAGCTTCTGGAAGCGATGTCGCCGTGGCATGCTGTAGCATCACACTAGCATCTTTATTTGACTCTTAACCACGCATGCGTCATTTATTTTGGAACGGAGGGCCGGAGGGGTAACTAAGATCACAGCAAATCTGGCTTTGTCAGCAAGTCTTGTCCGTGCTCATTACACGCCGGGGGTACGTGGATACGTGCACTTGTCACGGCGCTCTACACCCCGTACACATGTCAATCCAGGGCACTGCAGTTAATTAGTGACTGGCTTCCACTGATTCATCGATTGAGTCCAATCAGTTGGCATCAACGTCACACCCATGCCATGCATAGTTTAATTACCACGTGGGTCAGTTTCTCAAGTGGAGCTGCGTGGCGCGTACGCCAAATAATGTATGTACACATTCAGGTGCATTGTAGTGTATGGCACTCCATCATCAACCCATCTTCCTTCCTGCTAGACAATCTTATATACCCAAAAAAAAATCCTTCTAGAAGACGGGGCAACTTTTCACTAACTATTGTGACAGGATATACCGCATATTTGTAACGTTGCAAGTTAAGCATGGCGAGTTTTCAGCCGTGGCAGTTTCTGAATTATTGAATTTGGTAGGGAAGGAGCGAGCAGCAAAGCCAGCAACAGGGGATGAGGGGAACCAAAAACTGCGAAACAGAGAATCTGGCCTGTACTCTGAATGCTTGTTGTCCCGGACCCCCCCGTGACTAGTGACCAGTCCTATCCCTGACTCTCCCATCGAGGCTGTAGCTGTTGCTGTTGCTGGTGATGCTGCGATGCTAGGAGCAGCCGTGGCTGAAGTGAACAGCGGAGAAAACCAAAGAACAACACGTGCCCCGGCAGCCGCGCCATGGCAACCGTCTCTCAGGCGGTCGCAGGGCGCATGGCCTGCCTGCCAGAAGCATCGCATCTTTCGTTTCCCTGTCACGCTCACACAAAGAGGACAGCTGTTGTTTGATAGTACGGAGTATAACACACTTTTATTTTTGTTCTTTTTTTGGAAGAAAGCAGCTGATGATATGTGCTTGTGCTGACGAAACTAACCCTTGTGTTTGCATGCATTCAGACGGCGGCCACAGCGTGCTGGTGAAGCTCCACGACGACGTCCAGACGTGCGCGTACGAGGACGTGCAGGTGATGTGGGAGATGCTGCAGCGGGCCGAGACGGACAGGCTGGCGCGCGAGCCCTCGCCCAAGGGCGCCCGCGTGCTCGTCTGGCTGCGCCGCCACCACAAGATGGACCCGCGCCGGCGCTGCTGAAGAGTACGAGACCCTGCTGATGCTTCCTTCCTTCGGCCTTCGGCTTCGCTGTGCAGCCTTGCCCTGTGATGGATCTGTGTGAGAGAGTCACTCTGCTGCTGTGTATATATTACATACAGGCTACAGCCCTGCTGTGCCTTCGTTTCCTTTGCCCGGATGTACATATTCACCGTTTCATCTTTCGAGAAAGAGGAGAAGAGAGAGTCCGAGAGATCACAGTACCAGTTTTGTACTTTGCTCGGTGCCGCAGCCAATCACCTTGTGGGAAACAGTTCGATTTCTGAAGGAATTGGGCAAGAGCTTCTCATATCCAAGCAGAGCCTTACAAGAAAACCAACTATCCCAGCAAGCAGACCCAAGAACGTAAAAACATCGATACCAAAATATGTCCTTGTTCAGGGCAACACTCGACAACCCATCTCATCTTTCAAACAAGAACCTGTCATTCAACCTGCAAAGCAAAAGCCAAACTTTAGTAATCAATATATGATTCAGAAAACTGGTACACATTAATGAAACAGCAAGGAATTTTAGGGATGAACAAGGTGTTACCACTAGAACTTCAGGCAGATGATCTGAATTTTGTTTCAAACTTGGACAACTGGACTGATAGCCTGGGCGCCTGACTGACATACAAAAGTCCTTGTTACCACTAGAACTTTAGGCAGCAACAAAAACAATAACATAGCCTTTCAGTCTCAAATAAATTGAGGTTGACTAGAGTTGAAACCCACAAAAAGCCCAAAGTCACGGTTCAGACACTTCCATAGCTGCTTTCTAAGTACTCCTATTCAAACATAGATCTCTAGGTATATCCCAAGCTTTCAAATATCTTTTTATTGCCTCTCTCCATGTCAATTTCGGTCTTCCTCTACCTATCCTCATATTAATAGATTGGCTTAGGACTCCACAATGCACCGGTGTCTCTGGATGTCTCCTTTGGATATGGCCAAACCACCTCAACCGATGTTGGACAAACTTTTCTTCAATTGGTGCTACCTCTAGGCGATCACGTATATCATCGTTCCGAACTTGGTCTATTCTTATGTGACAGCAAATCCATCGTAACATACGCATTTCTGCAACACTCAGTTGTTGAACATGTCTAATCTTTATAGGCCAACATTCTGCTCCATACAGCATGACCGGTCTAATCGCCGTTCTATGGAACTTGCCTTTTAGCTTTTGTGGTACCCTCTTGTCACAGAGAATACCAGAATCTTATCGTCACTTGATCCACCCTGTTTTGATTCTATGGCTAACGTCCGCATCAATATCTCCATCCCTCTGTAGCATCGATCCCAGATACTGAAAGGTATCCTTCTTAGGCACTACTTGACCTTCCAAACTCACATCTCCCTCCTCCTGAACAACTCCGCCAAAGTCGCATATCATGTATTCGGTTTTAGTTCTGTTCAATCTAAAACATTTAGACTCAAGGGTCTGCTACCATAACTCTAGTTTTCTATTTACTCCCACCTAGCTTTCGTCCACTAACACTACATCATCAGCGAACAACATACACCAAGAGATATCCCATTGTATATTCCTGGTAACTTCAGGCAGATGAACTGAATTTTGGTTCAAACTTGGACACTTGGACTGATAGCCTGGGTGCCTGACTGCATTTAGTGGTGGGAAGGAACAGCTCGATGCATGTTTTCTACTGATTTTACTTTACTGAAACCACTAGAAATCCCAGCAAATTTGGCTCATGTAAAGTTTACTCATATGACACAGTTACACATTCAAAAACAGTCGTCCATTGACAACAGAGAATTGCAAACAAATCACCTGTAGTTCTATCTACTTCCTGATGACAATACAGTACACAGTGGCCAACTTACTGGTTTTGCACACCATGGATTTATGACTAGGTTTGGTGGTCATGGCATACATACCCTACTCCCGCAATTGATGATCGTATAGATATGTAGCTGAAGACGGACATTGACATGAACAGCAAGGCTTGTTCCTTAGCTTTGAGGCTAACTGCTACCTGTCTGAAAAGATAACACTGCTAGTAAATAAGAACTGTTTATTTATAGTTTAAAATTGCATGTAGGGTGTCTCAAAAGAAAGAAAACGGCACAAGTATCCTGCAGAAAGTTAATACAGCACTGTAACAGAAGTACATCAAAGCCAGGTACTTTTCAGAGAGAGAAACAAAATGAGGGGTCTTCCAGGTAAAAATTAGCCAATAATGTCCCAGCAGCAAACAAAGTATTTTGCAAAGCAATGTTAAACACCAACAGCTATGGATTTGTATTAGTAGTAGATATTTAAAGTATCAAAGTATCCAGTCCTGTTTGTCTTGCTGAACCAGGATGTATTGGACTGCCGGCGAGCCTCTTTGCTGCAGACATAAAATGCAGAGAACATTCAGAATTCAGACAGTCTGCATCCAGGGTTCTCTGATCCTCTCCAACATCAATAAGTGCACTAGTTCAGATACAACATACTTGCGATATATAACAGTATAATAATAACTGAAAATGCTTTTGACAGCCTTAAAATGACACCAGAGACCAGATATCTTTTCTTATCTCTGAAACAAAATATTGAAATTGTTCAAAATGAAAAATAAAAGCTGGACAACAGAAAGAACCAAAGTAACAAAATTTTGAACGGGGATCCATCTGTTTCAGACAACATGTTGAGATCACAGAACACAGTGTGATCACCAATGCATCTCCTTTTTTTTTTCTTGTCTTGAGTATAATAAACACCAAAAAGTGTATGGGGGCACCAACCTAATCCCGAAGACGTGACTCAGTGCACATCAAGGTACAAAGGTAGAGATCTAACATATAATTCTCATAGCACAGTTACAAAAGAATTAAATGAAATTAACATTCGAGATCCCTGAAATTAGTACTGAAAATACCTAGAAAAATTTTGCAATCAATAATGTACATCCTGACCTAGAAACTTACAGAACATTTTCCTATAAGTTACAAGACAGCACTTGTATTTTGCTGCCCCCAGTCCCTTATGCCGGATGTTACATAGAAGTTGGGACTTTTGGATGTAACACTATCCACCTGGTAAGTGCTAATGAGGCCTAAGCTGCATGGCCAGAAGATGTTTTCCTTTATTTGGGCATGATTTATCAGGAAAAAAGAATGTCTTTCTTTCACTACAACTCTGACAGCTGAACGCGAAATCAGAATTCTGCCTTGACCCCACATGTGCATATTCTGTGTTGTGCCTGCAATCTTGCCACTTCCAGCTCAAATGTACATCGGATGGGCACCAAGAAGCATATTGGTACAAAACTTCAATATGAAGTAAAAAAGCACCATCTGTCAGTCATTTTCCTCTGAAGAACATAGACATATCTTCTCCAGAAGGACTGGCCAGTTCTCCCCGAGATGTTGAGGGTTTAGCTGCATGGCTACCTTAAAATCATTGATGGAGATCAATTGGTTACTTCCGATCTCATTCGTGGCTCCTGATGGCCCGCTACCTGATTGAATGTGAACATGGTTTGGCAGCCAGACACCATTAATCTGCTTTCCATAAGCTTGCTGCTTGTATGGTGGTGTCCCTTTCCTTGCATCCCTCTGAACACTACCTCCTACTAACTCAACAGATGACCTAATCAGGTTTTCATGTACTTATCCAGAGCAATATTCAGAAGCTCGGCACTATCCATTGTGACACCAGCTAAACCCAGCGTTTCTGCTGTTTTCTCCATCCGTCTGTGCAGCAGCTCAGTGTTGAACAGCCCACCATGATCAAGACAGCTGTTAAAGTGATCCTCACCTGCAACAATTCGTGGAGGTGGAAATTTCCTTGCACCACCCACACTTGCTGAACAAATGGAATTCCTAGTGGAGCTCGTTACAGGACTTCTCAATATTTCTGCAGACCGGTCTGCAGTGCTGCTCATACTTCTTCTCTGCAAAAGCATATTATTGGGTGGCAACTGTTCCACGCGTGGGATGCTTTGCCAGTGGCTCTACAGGTTCGCATTGTTGAAAATGCAATCTCTTCAACTCAAGTGGATTTATAATACCATTCTCCAGAGATCCAGAAGCACCGTGGGTAACTTGGTTGTGATTGACAGCAGTCGTCACCCTACAATTTGGGCCCATGTTATTCATACTGTCTTTCAAAGTATGATCCTGTGCTGTAGCCACAGGCCTCAATCCCTGAACCTGTAACAACCTGGCATCACCATTGCAAGCATTCAACACTTCAGCAGCCTGAGAAGCCTTCTTTACTGATGCCCCAACAGGTCTCCTCCCTGCATCCAATGGAGGAGGAGGAGGCGGGCACTTTCCCTGGTAGGCATTGTAGAGAATTGCACGGATTAACCGGTTGTGCAGCTGGAGGTTCTCCCGCCCCAGGGTCTGCAGGCACAGCTTTTCAAAGTCCTGCCTGCCGAGCCTTTCCGATAAGTAGCCATTCAAGTAGCCAAAATATCGCCGCGAACGATCCGGACCAAGCCGCTTCTCCATCTGAGCCTTGAGCTCCCTGAGATCGATACGGCCATTCTGCTGCTGCTGCTGCTCCGGTTGGGGAGCTGATGGCTGCTGCCGCTGCTGCGGTGCAGCCACAGGCCATGCCTCCTCCCTTACTGTGTCCATGCAGTTACCACCGCAGCAAACCCCAATATCAGACCCGGAGTAGAGAAACCAAAGAATTGGGGATAGCACGCCGCACCCAGCTAGGATCAAACCATTAGGGCTTGCGCCTCTTCCTGCAGAGCGCGAGCCCGTACCCGAATTCCCAGCTCGCCGGCCATGGAGGGGATCTCATCTCCGCTAGCGCCGCACCAACCGCCGCGAGATCAAGAAGCCGCCCAGGGAGCGGCGCGGAAGGCCCGAATCGAGCATAGAGGCCGCGGGCCTGGCGAGCCAATTGGATTACCCGCCCAAACCCTAAAGCAATGGAGGCATGATCCCCGGCCTCGCCGAGCTCCGGCGAGCTCGTACCTGCTGGATCTCCGGCGAGGGAGACGACGCGCCCGGCGGAACCGAATCGAATCCGAGAAACAGCAGGAATTGAGCTGACCTCCGGGAGGGGAGCAATTGGGGTTGGCGGGCGGGAGCGGGACGGGGACCAGCCGAAGACGAATTGCCCTCGCTGCTCACCGGCGGGCGGGCGGGCGGGCTGCTCTCTCGGCGGCGTTGCTCGGGCGCGTGGCGAGGCGGCTGCCTGCTGCCGCTGCTTCGTGGGTTGGGATGGGCTCGCTCGTGTCTGCTTTGCTCCTTGCTTCTTCGTGTTCGTCTCAGTCTTGGGTTCTCCCTGTCATTTTTTTTCTTTTTCTTTTTTGTTTTCCTCTTCGAGGGTTTTTTTCTCGGCCTTTGAATCGGATTTGATCGCGCAGGAGTGCCCAGAAGAGAAGAGGATCTGCTTTGGCTTCCCGGCCTGTCTCTTCACTCCTTTGATTGCCACTATACTCGCTAGCAAACATGCTGGAATGTTTCAAGTACTTACAACAAATAAGGCCTTGTTTAGATTGCCTTAAAATTTCAAGTTTTTTCACTCTCTCTCCATCACATCAATTTTTGGACGTATGCATGGAGCATTAAATGTAGGTAAAAAAAAATAACTAATTACACAGTTTGGTTGTAAATCACGAGACGAATCTTTTGAGCTAGTTAGTCCATGATCGGATAAAGTTTGTCAAATACAAACGAAACGTGCTACAGTGTCCATATTACAAAAATTTGCAATCTAAACAAGGCCCAACATGTAAAGTTAACCTGTCTTGTTCGATTTGATTGGACTTGACATAATTATATTTAAAATTAAATTCTAAGACACATAATAAATGCTAGTTGTAATAAAGGATTAATATCGTATAGAAAATTGAACGGAGATTAACTCAGCTTAAATATATATAGCTATTGTCTATGTTTGTTGTGAGGTTAAAAGAATGAAAGGCTAGCCACATATATATGCCAAGTTGCAACACGAATGGACTCGAATTTGGCCAATCAGACCAAGTGAGTGTTGCGACACCATTAAAAAATTTATAACTCCAAACTAAGGGAACAAGTATGGACGAAAGAAGGGGTGGGAGTGAAAGACAGCCGTGAAGCTAGAAGAGTCAAAATAAGTGATGAAAGAAGATGGGTGGGTAAGAGATGATGGATCAGAGAGGAATGAAGAAATTTTTATGTTTATAAAGGTTTAATTTATATATAAAAGATGATAACACAACACTGCTATTATTAACTTTGTTATGAAAATAGTTTTTTATAAGATATAATGTTTTTACTGGAACTGATGCTATTTTGTAGATGGCTAGTTTAACTTAGAAATTTTGATTAAGGACAGACAAATATAAAACTTATATTTGAGAAAATATCTTATGATTTGCATTTTGATTGGACTGTAATCGTTAAAACAAAGCTTTGTTTTCTTAAAGGTAAGCTTTAGTTTTCATGTTCCGTTCTTCCACGTGGAGAGTAGGATAGGCCCCGTACGGTTTGCTGAAACTTGGCTGAATTGGCTGAAAAACATTGTTCTGGCTGAATTGTTGTGAGAGAAAAATACAGTTTTGACTGAAAAAATAAGCTGAATAATCCAGATTATAAGGTAAGCCGAACGGGGCCTAAAAGTGTTAGTTGAGTATCAAGAGCTGAATGCACAACAATCGTCATGCAAAATATAACAGGGCATAGATAAGGAATAAATAATTCATCTAAACATATAATGACTAATTCTATCCACTCAGTTATCAGTTCATGTAATCTTGCTCAGCTTATAAGCGAGACTTAGATAAGCTGAAACAAACGGGGCCTAAAATCTATAAGCCACAGATCTAAACTGTGTGAACCTTCATTGATAGTGTCGTAGCTGAATGAACCTATGCCATCACCTGATATTTGCCTATGAATTCAAAGTAAAAAAAAACAGAATAAATTAATAATAAAAATTTTAAAATTTATAAACCATTCTACGGATCAACCTACCAACAAGATAAAGGGCACGTTTGGTTGATGCCTATACTTATCCTGCCAAAACAATTTTGGCTGAACAAACTTTGGAGCATAAATTAGCCACCCCGTATTGGCCAGCCATCAAAAGTAGGATCTACACGTCAGCTACTTGTATTGTATAGTGTCGTGACAAATTGTGGTAGCCATAAAAATGATGCCTCATCAAGTCAATGACTAATATTGTCTCACTCTTAGGCCTTGTTTGGATGCACATATATTCGCCTCAATCCATATGTGTTGAAGTGGATTGGAGTTGAAAATTAAACTAAGTTACATTCCAATTCATTCCAACACATGCATCCAAGGCCTTACTGGTTTCAATCCGAACACGCTCTAAGTCATTCTCACTCTCTCGGTGTGGAACAAGGTCACTGATCTGGTATGTTCAGTTAGCTGCCCCATTTTTTTAAACCTTACCACACATTTTGTCGCAACTATTTGGTTTATGCCATACTTATGGCATGCCACATTTTTTTTGGCTATGGACTCCACTTGTCATAGGTTTGCTTTTTAGCTAAATTTTGCCCATGTCATAGCTAACAAACTTTCACATTTTTTCTGCCCTAAACCTCACTTGTCATTGAGCCGATCTTTAGCTATTTTTTTTTTTCCAAAGATGTACTAACTGGGAAATTATTGGCCACACATTAAGCAAAGAGCTGGGAAATTACTAGCCACTTTAGCTAATTTTTTAGATAGGCTCTGCATACTGTTAATCCCATCAATCCAACAAATTGGCATACTCCCAATATGCTGTCAGACAATTAACATTTTGATAGCTAGATACTATGGCGACAAATTATAGTTACTTGGAGAAACCAGTCCAATAAGCGAGAGGACCAAACCACCGTCCAGTACATAAAACGGCCATAGAGTATTAGAATCGAAGATAATATGTTACGTTAATAATGAGCAAGTCTTCGATATGTAGTTACTTGATAATCATAGGAAAGTAAATGCACATGTGATCTGGTGATATGTTACATTAACCACGAACAATCCTTGGGAAGTTTAACAACCATGTGAAGATAAATGCAAGTTTAACAACCATGTGAGGCTAAATGCACCTGTATGCGAAGCATTTAGATAAGTTTTTGTAATGCATCTACAAGAACTCAAGAAGTTACAGAGCGCGGAACATTCACACACCACGTGTCCATTTCCACACCCTCTGCATTCACACACCACATGTGTCCATTTCCATACCATCTCTGTTTTCTAGGTCCAGTATAGAACTGATTATACGTCTTTAAGACAAAAAAATGATCAAATATAAAGAGGATTTTTCTTTTATTTTACAACTCATGGAAGATGTTTCTTGTTTCAAGACATGAACACCAACTTGTCCATTATACCACATAGATCCTAAAAAAACGGAAACCATTTTCACATTCCTTGGTTCGGATATGTACTCCGAATAGAAAACACCAAAGATTTGAATAGAATGGAAGAAATATGTGGAGAGTTCTTGTTACTAGCATCTCTTATGCATATGATATAATGCTCTACCTGCATCGTTGAAAACATATCCGTGTGAATCAAATACAGTAATTAAGAATTTACAACAAATGTGGTTCATGATATTTGATATCGATAGTCTTTTTTAGATAATGTTGATATCGATAGTTGGAGACAAACAAAACAATTTGCGCATTAGCTAATCTTCCTCAATGTGGTTGCCACTTTAACAGTCATCCTGTATGATGGCAAGTAAAGTGTCTGTGATGATCCTTGATTTGGGGTAAAATTGATGGCGCATGGTGGGTAGCATGGCAGCCGGGTGTCTCTGATTATCCTTGATTTGGAGTAGAATTGATGGCGCATGGTGGTGGGTGGCATGGCTGCCGGCAGCTGGAAGAGAGGAGAGGAGAGAGAGGATTAGGGTTTCCCCTAGATTATTCTTGCTTAATCTCAATAGATACATCTCCGATTACATTTATAGGGAGGACCCAACCTATTCCAATTTCTTGGACTCTTCCCAATCCTAGATCTAGATGGGTTTTGTGCTGCCCTATAGTACCAGTGCTATATTGAGCGCGTTCGGCTGGCTGGTGGCCGGCCGGCCAGCCCACTCACGAAATCACTGTTCACGGGTATTTTAGCTTATTTTTCAGTCCTGCCGAACAGGCTCATTATCCACGGGTACTGTTCACGCCGGGCCATATTGGCCTGTCTTGGGTCTAACACCTCAGTGGCCTACCAGGACTATTTAGGCCCGTGACAGTGTCCTTATGCCCTGACCTCGTTATCTGCTATAATTCTTGGCAATCTACTTCATATGTTCATCAACAAATTTAAAACTTGGTTTCCTTAAATATTAGGACGTGACTGAGAATGATCATATTTGTGTAGCTCACACATGTTCTGACACAGTACATGTACAAGAAATGTATTTGACCTGTCATATTTTAATAGAAAAGACTCCAATAGAATATGAAGTGTGCATAGTACTACGGTTGATTTTGTACTTGATTGAATTCACAGACTTATAGTGCATACAGTAGTTCTAGAAATGTTACCTGCGCAAAAATAGACTTAAGGACTAGCTGATTGAGTCCTCCGGGACAGTAGAATCCTGAATCACACGGTCAGGGTCTAGCTGACCACTGTAATAACTAGATGGCACAGCAGAAAGG